CATAATGGAGACTTGGAGCTAGACGGTCGTGAGACAGGTTAGTTTTACCCTTTGGATGATGCATTAATAATCCTAATGCAAGATTCCATTGCAACACACATAGACATGTAATATTTTATATTATATATTCTATATAAGATATAATATATAGGAAATTGTATATTATACATATTTAATTTATATTTACTCTGAAAAAAAAAATAATGATATTACTGACTTGACCTGAAATCTTCACATCAAAGGCAGTAATTTACCAGGTGCGCCAATGAGGCCTACATTACTTATGTTTTAGTTACATTCAAATCATGTATCATACAGGCAGGCCAAAACAGTTTTACTTATAATATTGCACCAAATAACATTTCTCAAACAATTTTATTGTGATTTTGCCATTCTCCATGACCCAACATCATGACACACCACTGGTAGTCAAACTGGGATTGACGGGCAACGTTTGGGCCCGTAATCTTGCTCTTGGCCCATGGGCTTGTTGCATCTGTACATGCTGCTTTCAAACATTGTTTGTTGCCCAAATGCCGTCTTACACGCCATGTTTGTCCAATTGCCGTTTTACTCGCCATGTTTGTCAAATGCCATTTTAAATGCATTTGTTGTGTTCATGCACTGATCAGCTGTGGCAGGTGCGGTGCCACAAAAGGGGGGGGGCGTGGGGGGGGCCCCCCCCCCCCCCCCCCCCCCCCCCCCCCCCCCCCCGATCCTGCCCTTACTGCAAGAATGGACGAACACCGTTGAGAGAAGAAAACAAGGAATTATCTTCATCCTGTGTCCTCTACTTTATCGTAGATTTGGCTCACCGAGAAGACCCCGGGACTGCGCTTGGAGTTACAGGGCTTTCATTGTTCTGCGTGCAACCGCCAGCGTGAGCTGTCGTCTCTGGTCCCTCTTCCTGATATCTTCCTGGTGTCTCTCTCCTATAGTAAAATACTGAAGCCCATGGCCCTTCAGCTTCCTGTTTCATGGAGAAGATGCAGTATTTCTGTTGTGTTGTTTCTCGTCACTCAGAGCCCCATGAGCAGCCCTACACGTGAGCGGATTGTCCCAGTGTAGGTGTGCCTCCCCTGGGTTGTTCTTTTGTCCTCCCCTTGTCTTTGGCCAGTTCCCATCAGCTGTTCTTACTGCCGCTTATGCAACCGTCTAACTTTACAACCGGCTTTTTCCAAATCTTCTCTTTCCTTCATTGCTTCCCGTAGTTTGGGTTTGGGTTCGCTTTCATCACAAGTCAGTTATTCAAGACAAATTCAAAACTCCTCGTTATTGGGAGAATATACACAAAGCAATAATGAGATCGATTCAATAATAATGCATCAGCTTTATACAGCGCTTTCTTAGGCGCTCAGACCGTTCAGCTGCCCTGGGGCACACTGACGGACGCGAGGCAGCTGGTATGTGCCATAGGTCCTTCTGACCAACTCCAACCATTCACACCAGACTCATTCTAAGACAGCACTGTAGCACCTGGTGTTCCCAGAGGTCTCCCATCATACTGACCAGACCCTGCCCTGCTTAGCTTTAGAGTTCTGTCGAGATCTTGCTTTAACCTGCAGGTTTGTCAGTTTTCAGTTTCAAAAATAGTTGAATCCTTCTAAAAACAGCGGGAAATGTTGATTGTCCTGTTTAAGAAAGTGAATTCATTTTGAACGTCAAACATACTAGAGTGAGCGGATTAATCATCAAAAACATGTGAGGACTATTCGGTTTTGTATTCAGATTTATGCAGCTAAAATCTGGAACAGTCTTCCTGAAAATGTGAGACAGGCTTCTCCCACTGTCTCTGACAATGTTCAAATCCAGTTGTGTTTACCGGTGCTGTGATTATTCATGATTTGATTGTATAATTGTGTCTTGTTTTGTCAGCACAGATCTGGGTGAAGTCGGTGTGAAGCCTGTTCCCGTTCCCTGAAGTCTGAAATTTCAATGAATTGGATCAAAACCGGTTTTGCTGCAAGATTCTGGTTTCCGGCAATATCCGAGTCCTTCAGAAGCTTCTAGAACCGATCCAGCATTCACGAAAAGACAGGAAAACACCGCAGCTCTCACTTCAGAGAACATCCAGAGTTATTTCTACAGATGTCCTGGTTTTCACATGTGCTGGATTCAAAGAAAATATAAATTAGTTTTATACGGATCATTTCATACACAGGGGAACTCAAAGTGCTCACAACAAGAAAAGAAAAGACAATAATTACAGTACATTAGTGTTCAGATTTTTACTCCACCTGAAGACCTGGAGCAGGGGTGTCCAACCTGAAGCTCGGGAGCCACCAGTAGCTCGCCAGCCCCTTACAGGTAGCTCGCCAAAGGAATCAGAATTTAACAAATACACTATAAATATGGGGATATACAGTATTATGGTGTATTTTATGTGTTCTCTGAGTTTGGTCGTAAATATAGATCGATTTTTATTACAACTGCAAAAAGGAGTAGCTCTCTGCCTGTTTGTTTGTATAAAGTAGCTCTCCGAGACCCAGACCTGGCGGTAAAGAGCCCTACACAACCCGACCTTTTGTTAACCAATGTTTTGGGCAGTTACACGAGCCAGACTACTTTCACAAATGGTAGAAAATATTTTTGAATTTTAAGCGAGAAAGAGTGTTGTACGGTAAAGCAAGAGATTAACGGCTTATTCCATTGGCTAATTATTTTTTCAACAGTCAAAACATACAATATTATCAAAATAGATTACGGATTTTTGCGGCACCCAGCCTCCGCAGAGTGGCTGCTCCCGTAGAGATAGAGGAGCCCAGTCATACGGGACGAGCTTCGGGTTTGGGATGCCTCCTGGTCTCCTCTCTGGGGAGGTGCTCTGTCCCACGAGGAGGAGATTCTTCCAGATGAGACGAAGTGTGTGTGGATAAGAAAACACACCAACGAAGAAAGAGCATCACATTTGTGAGCAGAACTGGTGTCTCTCTCTCTCTCTGGTCTCTCTCTGGTCTCTCTTTGGTCTCTCTCTGGTCTCTCTCCGGTCTCTCTTTGGTCTCTCTCTGGTCTCGCACTGATCTCTCTCTGGTCTCTCTCCGGTC